AAATGAACTTATTTACAAAACAGAAACAGACTCACAGACTTAGAGAATAAACTTATGGTTACCAAGGTGGAAGGGTTGGGGGGAGGGATAGACTGGGAGTTTGGGATTGAAATGTACATACACACTGCTGTATTTAAAATAGATAACCAACAAGGAAAAAAATAATAATGTATTATGAATAACTTTATGACAATAAATTTGACCTTAAAAGAAAATAACACTTTATCTTGGAAATTTTTGATTTACAGAAATGTTGCAAAGATAGCACAGTGAGTTACTGTGTGTCCTTCATCCAGTTTCACCTAATGTTTTAACTTTATTATATTTGAAAAATCTATGTGAACAACATTGGTACATTCACTATTAACTAAACTCCATACTTCATTCGAATTTCACCAGTTTTTCCCCTAACGTCCTTTTTTTGTCCAGGACCTGTATTTAGTTGTCATGCCTCCTTCATCTCCTCTGATCTTGTGATGGTTTCCCAGTCTTTCTTTTTTTTTTTTTTTCTGATAGTTTTCTTTCTTGTCTCTTTTTTAAAAAAATTTATTTTATTGAAGTATAGTTGATTTACAATGTTGTATTAATTTCTGCTGTATAGCAAAGTGATTCAATTATACATATATATTCTTTTCCATTATGGTTTATTACAGGATACTGAATATAGTTCCACCAGTTACTAAGACAAGTGTATAAAAGTTTCACTATGATTGTGGATTTGTTTATTTCTCCTTTGAGTACTGTAGGTCCTATACAGTAACAACTGTTGTTTGGTTTCTCAATCTTTGTTTTCTATGACCTTTATTGTTTTGAGGAGTACTAGGCAGTTCTTTCGTAAAACGTCCTTAAATTTGGGTTTCTCTAATGTTTTCCTTATGCTTAGACCGAGGTTTGGGGAAGAATACTGAGGTGACATGCCCTTCTCGTTACATCGTATCAGGTGGTACATGATATCAATTGGTGACACTAATTTCCAGTACTCGGTTAAGGTAGTGCTTGCCAGACTTCTCCAATGTGAAGTTTCTATTTTTCTCTTTCAATACTCTGTTCTTTGGAAGCAAGCCTCTTACTTTTGCCCATACAGGGGTTGTAGAGAGTGAGAGGTTATTAAGCTCCATTTCCTGGAGTGGGGTATATCTACATATATTATTTGGAATTCTTGTGTTAGGGAGATTTGGCTCCTTATTTATTTATTCAATTATTTTATTATAACAGTATGAACTCATGTACACCTAATTTCTATTTTGTGTTATAGTCCAATACGGCATTATTTATATCATTGCTCAAATTGTTCCAGCTTTGGCCACTGAGAGCTCTTTCAGGTGGACTCCTGGGTCCCTTTGACATGACCCCATCCTTTTGTTTTTATGAGGACGTCATTACTTTCTGGCACTACAAGGTGCTCAAGGCTCTTCTTCCTATCTCTCTCATACCACAGCACCCCAGCCACTAGTTTACAGTTAAGCCCAGTTCTTCTCTTTTCCAGGATGAAAGCATTTTGCGACCTAGGTGCAGTGCCTGTCCCGTCAGCCCTAGGATTTGACCTACCTCTCTATACCATACCTGAGTTTACATTGGATCTTAGAGAGTTTGCTGTGCTTCTAGGGCCCATCCGTAGAGCCATGTTGGGGCCCCTCTACCTCTCACCTGGTCCCCAAATCCTCCTTCAACCTTACTGTCCCATGGGAACTTGCTCCACCCTAATATTCCAGACCACCTAAGTTATAAAAAGAATAGCTGACTTGGGGGAGAGATCATGAGTTCCATCTTTAAATACATTAAATATGAAGTATATGCAATATCCAAATATCTTCTGCCTCTGCACCTCTTATTATTGATCTAGTAAATAGATATAACAGGAAATTGTTTCCTTCATCCTCCACAATCCAACCCAGTCTTTTGGGTTAGACCCTTTTAGTCATTTCAGGAGAAATTACTGTCTTGTGTTGATACAGATTACTTTCTAGCTGTTCTTGCCCTCAGATATTTGCTTTCTCTAAACAGTGGTAAAAGTTGTCACCCTACCTTTTGCATCTGGATAGGTCTTTAAAAATCTTTGAATCTCTTTAGCTCTTCCTAGAGCTCAGGTTCCACTGACAATGACCTGACTCTCTGATATTGGATCCACACACCCATGCAAACCTCCAAACATTCCCAGGTTTTCTTTGAATGTTCCCTCACTCCACCCCAACCTCCTTCTTCCAAAGCTGTCCTTGATTCTTGGCCTACCCTGTAATATCCTCAGAACAATTCTGGCAGTTCTCTGTACCTAGCCTGCTGTTGGAATCCACCTCAATGATCTCTGTCCTGTATTGCAATTGCTCATATCTGCTTGTGAGTTCCTAGGGGGTGGGGATCAGATCTTAGTCATTTTTTTCTCCTCTACAATGCCAGAGTGTAGCCCAGCCTCTAAAGTTTCCCAAGGGGAGCAAGTATACCACCTTGTTTATAACACCTGAGTATCACATGCAACTGTATACGAATTGAATTCACTTGATATCTTTGCACCATCCAAGTACTTGGCAAGTAAAAAAAAAAAAAAAAAAGAAAGAAAGAACCTCTGGACTTCTAGTGTCCTTCTGCATCCAGCCTTGGGGAAATCTGACCCTGCACCCTATCCATCCCTCATGTGGGAGTAGGGCTACTGCACATGTTGGCTCTGCCTCCTCCAGCCCTGGAAAGCTGGGTATCTTCTCTGACTTGACCTTGCTCGTGATGCCAGGATGAGAGACGAATTCACATAATTCAAGTGCATGGGGGAGAGTTGTGGGTAAAGAGAAGCTGAGAGCCTCTGCAGGATCTTTTCCTAACTTTACTCCTCTTGAGTTGTAGAGTTAGGAAGAGGTGTTTGTGGAGGATAAAAACCAAATCGATGGCAGTCAGAAGGCCCTAGGGGAATGGTGTTGAGGAAAGGGGCATTGGTTAAAGACCTAAGGTAGCAAAGTAAACGTAGATATATCAATAGAACAGGAAAAGAGTTCAGACAGAGGCCGGAGGCCCACAGATATAGAGAGGGAACTTATGGCTGTCTTTAAAAGATTGAATACTCTGTCTTCATAAAACTGAAATCTATTTGGTTCCTTAGCCGTCACCCTCCTGCAGAAAGGTTCAAGTGAGCTTCAGAGAGGTTTTGTCCCGAGAGAGTTCCTGAGTGTCTATTGCCTAGGTACTTCTTGACCACAAGGGGGAGCCAGCTCTCTACTACCATGGTCACAGTCATAGGCACTGAAGAGCTGGCATGGGTCTGGGATGAGCGAGGGTGCCTTTGATTGGTCAAAACAGGTGACAGCTGAGGTCTAAAATGTTCAGAGTGGGGTCTCTAGTGTGTGCTGGGTCCCACTCTGGCACCCTCAGAGTTCCTTATGTTCCCTTTACAAACACTGGGTAGGGATGCAACTCTCACTTTATGGCCCAGTGTGTGGATGTAGCACTCATTCTAGTGATGATCCTGTCATGCCTAATTGGGATTGTTATTTTCTGAGTGTCCTATGTTGGGGACACAACTTCTTCCTCTTTCCTTGGAATTATCTAAGTTCCCACCTCTCCTTGCTTGTGTGATTCTTTGTAGGAGTGAAGTATGTGTGTGTGCGTGCACGTGTGCACCTACATGTTGGAGATGGGGGGATATAAAGAAGCTGGAATAAGGTTTGGGTCAGTGACCACTGAAATGGAGTTGGGAAGCAGGTGGAGACATAAAGAAACAAAACTGCTATTGGGACCGACCCATGCCACTCATCTTGTTCCACCTCTGATCTATTGACTCTGATCTCAGTAGAAAGCTAACTTTTTGAAACAAGACATTCAGTTTTATTTCTGAAATCAGAATATGCCAGGGAAAGTGGATACCACTGGGTGAACAGCAAGATCTCCCCAAAGGAGAGAGACGCTGTCTCCCCAGCCTGGGCGGCTGGTGCTCCTGGAGACTGGCCCTCTCCTCCCACTTCACGTGCTGCTGGCCCAACAAGTCCCCGTGGGGTGGGCTGGCCCCCTCCACGCACCCAGAAACACCAGTTCACGGCACAGCAGGATCTAGGGTCTCCAAGAAGTCGGCGTTGCGCTTCCGACCTGGCCGGGTGAGGGCGCTCCTGACAGCCTCACGGACAGAGGGAGCTGCAGCCAGGTATGCCTGGGCCTCAGGGATGGAGCACCGGAACAGGAGGCTCAGCAAGGCTATGGGGATCACCTGTGGGGAGGAGGCAGCGAGAACTGAAGCCTGAGAAAGTGAGGTCGTCTGAGGAAGAACCCTGGAGGAGCTAGGGCATTCAGTGTGGGAGTCAGAAGATACCAGGTTGGATGCAACAATAGAACGGAGGCGCTTCCCTGGTGGCGCAGTGGTTAAGAACCTGCCTGCCAATGCAGAGGACACGGGTTCAAGCCCTAGTCCCGGAAGATCCCATATGCCACGGAGCAGCTAAGCCCGTGTGCCACAACTACTGAGTCTGCGCTCTAGAGCCCGCGAGCCACAGCTACTGAAGCCCGCACACCCTGGAGCCCGTGCTCCACAACAGGCGAAGCCACCGCGATGAGAAGCCCGCGCACCGCAACGAAGAGTAGCCCCCGCTCGTCGCAACTAGAGAAAGACTGCGTTCAGCAACGAAGACCCAACGCAGCCAAAAATAAATAAATAAAATAATAAATTAAAAAAAAGAATAGAAGGGAGTTTTCAAACACCAGAAATTGGAATGAGGTGGGTCAAGAGCAGAGAGTAGCCTTCATCCTGACCCAGAAAACTCCTATTCATCAAGACTGGTTCGTGACCCAGTTCTCCCTCTCTTTCCTGACTCCCCTCCTAGGCAAAACTGAAGACTCCTTTTCGGCACCCCTGTAGTACCTTTTTCACACTTCTCTGACTACTTGTCACAATCATGTCTCCTCCATGAACAGGGGGAGTTCCTTGCAGAGTGTCACTGAGCTTTGTAAACTCAGTGCCGAGACAAGTTCCTGACACATCATAAGTACTCAGTAAGTGTTTGCTAGATGACTAGCAGTTCGCGAGTTACCTGTTCCTTCTCTTGTGCAACCTGGACGTGGAAGGAGATGGGAGCTGCTCGAATATCATCCGACAGTGGCTGAGGGACGTGGATCGCCTGGAGGAGGCTCTCGATGCATCGAGACTTGGGCTGTCCCTAGAACCGCTGTGGAAGAAGTGGTAACATCCATGCTGGGCTAGAAAGCCATGGGAGCTGAGAATGGGGTCAAGGGAGAATGGGAGTCTGGGATCTCGAAGACCAGCTGTAGAGAATTCGTCCCTGTAGGCAATCCCAAACTTACAATCCCCAGCTGTAAAGGAAAACTGGGGTAAAAGGGTTGGTGGTGGGCCTTGGTTGGCTGGGTTACACTGGAGAATTAATGGCAAATTGGTCATATTTTTGGCCATGTCCCCGCAATCCCAAAGGTTGGTCATCTTAAACTGAACTCATTCCCTCTGGTTTCCTCCCTAACCACATCCATCCTTTATACTGCTGTAAGACAGTTCATCTGCAAACACTGCTTCTATTTTTTTCACCACCCTTTTCCTCTCCATCTAGCTCAGCACTGTCCAATAGAAATATAATGAGTCACATATGTCATTTAAAATTTTCTAGCACAGCATTAAAAAAGAAACAGGTGAAATAAATTTTAGTCATGTTTTATTTCATCCAATATATCCAAAATATCATTTCAACATGTCAACAGTATTAAAAATTATTAGTGAGATATTTTACAATATTTCTGTACCATGTCTTTGAAGTCCAGTTTGTATTTTACAATTACAGCACATTTCAATTCAGGTGCTGAATTTCAATGCAAAAGTGAAATAGAGTCCTACCAAAAGAATAGAGTTGCATTTAATGAAAACTTTACATGCTTCACTTTTTAAATAAAATTTGGAGTTCAGTTCAAGTGCTCAATGGCCACGTGTGACTGGTGGCTGGACAGCACAGATCTAGCTGTGTTGGCAAGTCCCAATTCCTGTCTGGCTTTTAATCTTCCACAGTTTCTCCCCTTCCTGCTCCCTCACCACTCTGTAAAGTGACTCCAAACCTGTGTCCCTCACATATCATGCCTAGCCCCCCTCTGGGCCTTGGCTAATACTCCTTCTAACAAAAGTGCCCTTCAGTCCTTCACCTCTCCAAGCCATAACCAGTAGGCCCAGCTCAAACATTACCTCTTCCATGAAGTCTTCTGCTTTGCTATAGTGCATAGGTCCTACCTTCTTTGATGTTCTATTGGACTTCAGTAAGGATCATGCAATTTGACGCTTAATTGTTCTGTGTTTCAAGTGTTGGTTTTGTCTCTCCTCCATTAGATGGGCCACTCTGGGATGGCAAGGACTGGATCATAGGTAGCTCTGGCTCCCCCTACCTGCCCCAACTCCAGGAACTAGAAAAGCATAAAGGATTTTTTTTTCCCAGTTGGTTGGTTTTACTCATTCGAAAAGGTTGTTTTAGGGCCCTGATGGCTGCTCACTAAATGCCGATTCATGGGTTCCTTTCATGTAGAGTTGCCAGATGTAGCAAATAAAAATATTGGATACCCAGTTAAATGGAATTTCAGATGGATAATTTTTAAAAATTAGTATAAGTATGTCTCAAATATTGCATGGGATATACTTATACTAAAAAATATTCTTTATTTCTCTGAAATTCAAATTTAACCAGTGTCCTATATTTTTCTTTGCTATATCTAGCAACCCTACTTTCAGGACCATCTGTTGTGCTATCTGCTCAGCATCCAGGCCTCCTCCTCCTGGTATCAGCACCTTGATTCTCCTCTGGGGAATTATTGCTCCCCCATTCTCAGGCCACACTGTTTGATTGAGGCTCACTTCATGCCCCTTCCTCCATTGCCATCTTAAAGGGAGAGCATGGGTGACCCAGGCCTGGGCAGAGGGCTGCTTTCCCCTGGAGAACAGTGATTGGCTCAGGGATGGGCATGTGACCCAAGACAAACCAATGAGGACCCTCCCCCAGGTATTTGCAGGAATCGCAGGGACAGATAAACTCTCCTTCCGCCAGAGTTGCTAAATTGGTAGGATGTTAGGCTGGCACTGCTAGTGGCCAATTTGCCACCTAGTGGAGAAAACCTGCCTGAGAATGAGAGCAACACAGAGGAAAGCAGAGCTAAGGGCTGAAAGTTCTGGAGCATGTCATTTTGCGTTTCTGGATCTAGCTACTGTTCAGTTACATGAACCAATCATTTGCCTTGCTTAGTTAAACCAGTACAAATTGGATTTCTGTCACACATATGTGTAACTGAAAGAATCTTGCCTAATAGTTATAATTGCGCAAACACGCACCCATGTGTGCACATATACTCCTTAGAGGAGAGGCTGGGCCTGATAGAAGGACAAGGAGAGGCACAAGAGAAAAGTCAATCCTTACCCCTTCACATCTACATACCTCTGAAATACACCCTCCTATGGCAGCCTAGGCATTGAAGCCAGGCCCCATCCAGCCCCATCCCATCATGTCCTAGCTGCAGCACGGCCAGAGCCCGCCAGAAGAACCTGGAGTTGCAAATGTGGAGGTCCAGCATGTGGTTTTGGAGGATCTTCCCAAGAAGCACGTGGGCTCCTGTACTCACCGTATTCAGCACCCACTTGGTGCTTAGCTCATGCTGGAACTTCTAAATAGGGCAGACACACAGGGATATTGAAAATTAGGGGACATTAGAGCAGCAGGGTGAACAGGGCCTTATTATCTGACAGGAATCCAGGGATCAAAAATGCAGACATAGGGACTTCCCTGGCAGTCCAGTGGTTAAGGGTCCATGCTTCCAATGGAGGGGGCATGGGTCTGAGCCCACATGATGCTCAGCACGGCCCGCCCCCAAAAAAAGTAGACATAATTTGCTCCATCAGCCAGGGCCATTCCCGGCAAACCTGGCAGCTTCACATATTTGTGGGGTTTTCTTTCTTTTTTCTTTTCTTTTCTTTTTTTTTTTTTTTTTTTGGTCGTTCTGCACAGCTTGCAGGATCTTAGCTCCCCAACCGAGGATTGAACCTGGGCCCATGGCAGTGAAAGTGCTGAGTCCTAACCACTGGGCCACCAGGGAATTCCCCACATATTTGTGTTTTTGGCCCTTGGTAGACAGATATCTTCCCTGAGTCCTTCCACAGTAGGATTTTGCTCTTACCAGCACCTTCCTCTTGTTACTGAGGTACCAGACAAGGGAGAAGTGGAAATCCTGGGATTCATTCCACTAAACTAAAGGCTCCTTGAGAGCAGAGATGGTGTCTTATTTTGCTCAAGAGCCCCAGTCTTTTTGATAATGGCTGACACGTGATTACCGATCAATACATGTTTGTTGAAAAATTAATTCAATTTAATCCTTATAACAACCCTATGGAATAGGTTTTTTCTATCCCTGTTTCTACATATATGGAAACTAGAGGTCAGAAGTAAACTTGATAGTGAGACGTAGAATCAGGACCCAAATCCAGGTCTCCTGATTTAGTGATGAGGGCATTTCCTACTTTGCCACGATCTTTTCCTGGATGAATGAGATAATGGATGTGAAAGCACAATGAAAACTGAAATGTTATACAAACACGTGGTACTGTGGGAATAACTATCACCTGTTCTTGGCCCTCATATCTTGCACTTATAATATCTACTACCAAACTTTGAGGGCAACAGGAGTCCAGTAAAGGAATTGAGGGGGTTAAGTATTTGGTCCTAGCCAGGCTGAGGAAACAGGCTACTACTTCTACCTCCTTATTCTGCAACTCTATAAATAGCTGGTCACACAAACCCCTAGCAGGGGGTATACTGAAAATACTTAACAAGTGATCGACAAAGACACTGAGTATAAGAATAGAAATCTGACCAATCAGAATGAAGCTGGCCAGTATGCAGTACTGATGCTATAGGCTGCATGTCAGACTGCCCTGTGGGGGAGAGATCAATCAAATCTGGGTTATATCATTAACCATTTATATCACCAACCATTTATACCATTAACTACCATTAACGAAAAAATACTTTAAATTTTATATAATTTGAAGCTAGACACATTCATTTTAAAGTTCATGTGGAAAAAGGGCAGCAATTCTATAGAAGAGTGTTGAAGAGAGGACTAACTCTATCGGACATTAAATTTACCATAAAGCATCTATAATTAAACAGTATGGTACCAGCACATCAATAGACAGAAAGAAAGTCCAGAAATAAACCAGTGCACATGCGAACTGAGTATTTGATACAGGTAGCATCTCAAATCACTCAGGAAAAGATTAACTTTAAGTATATATATTGGGACAATTGGATAGTCATTTAGAAAAATATAAAATTGGGTCCATACCTCACCCTATACACAAGAATAAACTCTTAATGATAGTTTGGAATTAACATTTACACATTACTATATATAAAATAAACAACAGGGACCTACTGTATAGCACAGGGACCTATATTCAATATCTTATAATAACCTATAATGGAAAAGAATCTGAAAAGGAATATATATATATAACTTAATCACTTTGCTGTACACCTGAAACTAACAGAACATTGTAAATTAACTATTTTAATTTAAAAAATGGTTTTAAAAAAAAGAGAGCAAGAGAAAGATCACTTTCACTAGAAGAAAACATGTACTAAAAGAAAACACAGATGGAGTGGGTGTGGCGTGAGGGGAGCTTTCTGTTCATCAAGATCCAAATTCAATAAAAGATTGATAAGTTCTACCCCAGAAAAATTAAAGGAAAGACTTTTGCATGGTTAAAACCCAAAGAAAATGGAATATATAGTTGACCCTTGAACAACACGGGTTTGAACTGCAACGTCCACTTATACGCAGACTTTTTTCAATAGTAAATAGTACAGTACTACAATGATCCTATCCCAGGAATGTGGATAGGGAGGAACCATGGATACAGAGGGTCAACCATAAGTTACACCATTTTCCACTGTGCAGAGGATCAGTGCCCCTAACCCCCCCGCCTTGTTCAATTGTCAACTGTATAGCAGAAATAAAGGACTAATATCTCTAATTTATAAAGGACTCAAAATCAAGGGATCATCAAGACCACAATACCATTAGAAAATGAGTATATTTCATGTATTTACATGAACACACAGTTCAAATGCCCTACGTAAGAGACTGCCCGAATAACCCTCGCAAATGTGTGAGCACACCCAAATGTGAAAAA